AGCAAGCGAAAACTTTTGAAGTACGCGAAATATGCGCAAATGGCACGCGAGGGGCGGGTAAAAGGGGGCGGGGCAGCTTAGGGGGTGGTGGGCAGAGCTATGTGGGGCAACAGCTGATGCTGCCACAAGCACTTTCCACTGGCGCTGCAACACCGCCCAGTTCTCCGCCCGAACAATGAATAGGAAATTAATGTAGGTCGAAATGGCAGCGAATGCTCTTGAAATAGATTAATTAGATAATTGGGTTGGAAAACTCAAAGCGAAGACTGTACGCAAAAATGGGTGGCGAAAGTGGCAAAAAGAGTCCTTCAAAGATTTTCAAAAATGTTGCGCTGCCACAGACATGATGAATGGAAAACCCCCTACAAAGCTGTGGACCAACTTTTCATTCATTTGGGAGATTAAGCACAAAGCTGCTAGATTTGTGTGTTAGAGAAAAATAATTTTGTTAGCAGAATATAAAATTTGTACAATTTAATTTAATTTAAAAACAACAATTTTTCGAAATTGTCAGTTGAACATAATAGTTTTAAATACTTCTAGAAGTATTTGTTTATGTCTTTTACTTAAATGGGGTTCTTGGCACATTGAAATGTTTTCCAGCCCAGAACCATACATCATCACCTCTGGTGACTAATCGCAGAGTTCATTCTCGCACATCCTTGAAGATGCATGGTTGAATGCCTCTGTCGTTTGCTTAGATACTCCGGCCATAATCCTTTGCCAAAAAAATCCCCAGTGTTCATTTATGCGGCGTCTTCCCTGCAGTTTGCATAAACTACAGCAGCAATGCCCCGAGCATATTTCAACTGCAAATCCTTTTAGAGCTGCTCCGTGATACTGGGCCCTTTGTTTAGCTGCAGGATGCAGGAGTTGCAGCAGGACAACGAGGGGAATTCGGATGGTTGGGAATACGGAATGGGGATCGTGGAGAAAAGGCCTCTACATTTGTTTTCTTTCCTGTTGTTGTGGAGCAGAATACGAAAATATGCAGCTCGGCACAAAAATGTGCACTTGTTTGTTTTGTTTGTCAACAGAGTCCTGTTGGCAGTCCTTTTTGTGGTCCTGCGGCCTGATGTCTGCAATGCCTGCATATGTTGTCAGCGCTAATCAAGCGCACATATGATAAACAGACTCACACACTCAAACGCAATCTGAGTCTCCGAAATGCAGTGAAAGAAATATATTAATTACTGAATAGTTAAAACAAAAAATTAAACTACGCCTAAGATACATTTTCAACAATTTATTTATTTAAAATGTACAATTGACAGTTTTAATATTATATTTTTCAACTCCTAATATAATTTGTATCCTATGTTAAGGACAAAATATGTAACAAAGTGAATATTCTCGATTAAATTACAACTATTACTATTTTCAAAAATCTCAAAAAATATTTGTAGGTACCTGAAGGATTTCTGACTTAATGTTTAAAATAGTTTTATAATATTGTATTCATAATCGCTATTTAAATATTCTTTAATTATCTACCAATATCAGGTAAACTATAATTTTTTTAAGTGCACACACCACATAGCAGGACATGCAACACTACAAAAATATCAGCAAGAAGGACAACAACTGCAGCAGGACTTATGCAATTGTATTTGTTTACCCGGACGGCTTAGCACCGAGTTCTCCTGCCTCTTCGCCTGCATTGTTTGCATTTCTTTCACTCTCTCCTCGCCTTTCCTTTCTTTTCTATATATCCTTTGTGACGGGTCCTTTGGCAGCGCGCAAAAGTTTCTGCGCAATTTCACAGGCATTTACCATGTGCAACTACAGCAACAACAGCGGCGGCCCAGAGGTACAAAGGTGCTTTATGCCTTTTGATTGATTTATGTTAATCTTGGCCAATTATGCCGGACACGCAGGCGATTGCCGTGGCACGGGGGGTGGGGATAGGTGGGTCGAAAGGACCTTTCTCCTGCGACAGGAGATGCTAATTGCATCTGGCCATTAAATGCATAATTTGCCATTGATGGCGAATGGAAATCACTTTTGCATGTTATGTGTGGCCTGCTAGGGGACATGAATCGATTTGAATAATGAAAGGGAACTGGGATCTAGTTGTTTATTCACATGCTGTGGCATAATCAGCATACCAATGAATAACCTTAGCTGGAAATTATTTACAGTTGATGGATTGTTTACTTGGAGAATATAAGGCTGAGCTGATAGTGTGTCATCTTAATTAAGTATTTATCATGTGTTTATATGGGAATTTTCGGTTTTTCTTACACTTATGTTTGTAAATAATGGATTTCTAACACCACACAACTGACAAATGTATTTCATGTTGTTATATTTAAATTGTCATGTGGTGGTAAGACAAAAAAGTGCTAAAAAGATTGATTTTGACATAGCAGAATTTTAGAATAGGAGTCTTTGAAATTTATAGTTTCCGACTTCCCACAGAGCACATATCCGTATAAGTACTGCCCCAAAAACTGCACTTAAATCTGCACTTTTTAGACTGATAGCAAAATGGCAAGGAGGAAAGTTGGGACCGCAGTTACTACTGTGAAAAAGCATCTTTCTGCGGGGCTTTCGACGTCCAAACTACTAACTAAAGTAACATTTTATTATGTCACTATGTCACACACCCACACGGCACCCACACCAGTGCAGGGACACAAATACACGTACGGGGCTGACATGTTGACATGTTAAAGAGCATGTAAGTGAAGTGTGATGGAAGCTGGGAGATAAGATGAAAGCGGAGCGAGTCATGCACAGAGCGTAGAACCCGAACCCAGAGATATAGTCCACATCCTTCCTTCCGTCTTAGAACCACGGCCCCCTCCCCACCGCCATCTTGTCTGTTTTATGGTTTACTTTTAGTTAGTTAGTAAAAAGAATACAAGTTCTTCCTCCTTTTTTCGGGCTCTCACGTCAGCCGAGGTATTTTTATGATGGAATTTTTAATGAATTTACTTTTAGTCGGGTGTCACGCCGCACCTGCATGCGCTTGCCTGTGTGTCACTTCCTTTTGAAGGCAGAATATGTAGAATTTTCTAAGGATTCATATTAAAATCTCGCCTGTCTGCGGGGTTTTCATCCTTCGCTGCACACAAACGAAAGAGGTGTAAACTTGTTTATCAAACTCCACTTTTGTTGGGAAAGTCGTTTGGGGTTGCTTTTCCATCTGAGCAGATTGAATGCGACAAGTCAAGTGATGTGAATTTAATTTGCATTGCCATCAAAATTGGATTACAAACGGAGAAATGCGAACAAATGTTATTGAAAGCTCAGCCAAGAATTTGAACAAATCAAATTGTGTGATGACATTTTTTGTGGTATTTATAAAGGAATACAATTGAATCAACTCGAGCGACTGAGATGTTTAGTTTCCTTTGTTGGGAGAATTTCTTTTTATTTTATATATTTTTTGCTGTAGTATAATATATATTTTAATCCATTCAGATTATCCCTTCCCATAAAGACTTAAATATTCTGGAAAAGTTTGAGGAGATGATAACATTGTCGATATATCTTGCCTTTTCCAAAGCACTTAGGCTACCAAAGTAATTTCTTACTCCCCAACTATCTTAACTATCCCCACAAACACGCATTGATTAAAATCGCTGCAGTTAAAACTTATGCTCAAGTTCAAAATTAGTAGAAAGCTAATTAACGATAAGCTCGGCTTGCTAAAGTGCAGGGCCGAAGTTTTCGGCGGCTCGGAAAAGTTTTTAATGCATTTATCGAGTGACTTCGGTCTCGAGCTAAGTGCTTATTATCGGGCATCTATTTCAATTTCCCCCGGCAATTACAAGGCAGCCGAAACTACGTGTAGTTGTCTGGGAATTACGTACTTTTCCTGCCGCCTAACCCCTGACTTTTCGAACGCCCACAAGCCGTGTGACCTTTCACCCAGGGCAGTTCAAAGGCAACTGCCATCGACTGCTCATTTTCATTTCGGTTCTCTGCCAGGGAAATGGGAAAATCCTCTCACCAGAGAGGGAGAAAAACAAAGGTAGAGAGACAGAGAGAGAGTGCGCAAGAGCCGAGAAGAAAATCGAGTGCGAGAAAATTTCCCATTGAGTTCGACTCTCGGCGAGGAAAACCGGTTTTCGAGTGGGTTTTGAAAAATATTGGAGTGAGTTCGGAGCGGTGCATTTGTTCCACTTTCTGAGCAGGATGTTTTTGGCACGTTTTTGTGTCGTCGGAGCCTTTTGTGCATTGAGTTTTTGCCTCTGCCGGCTTATGGTCAACATGAGCAGAAATGAAGCGTGCTGTGGGTCGAATCCCCTTCCTTATGTTTCGGCTTTTTCCATCCTTCTTTTTTTGAAAGCAACAGAAACTGGCAGCAGGAAGCATTGCGGTATCCTGACGCTCTAGGGACTCATAATGGTCGAGATTTTGAGTTCTAGTTACAGTTTCTGCCCGGGGCCATTTAAGCCGGCCAACTAGGTTAGTTTAAAATGGCTAAAAGCTTCAAGAGAAATGTGTGCCATAATTTCCATAAATTCTTTATGCCCCAACAAAACTTTCCGCGTACCACATAATTCTTCGTTTGATTTGGCGCTAACTTCTAGCTCAAGCTTATCAAATGCCACATGGCCCCCTTTTGCCTTTCATTAAAATCAGCAGAGACTGAAACTTTCCCACAAAGCAATTTGCTGGAAAAACACAAGCCCGAAAAGCGTTGGAAAAACTTTAAAACAACGAACGTGACCGAGGTGAAGTTTTCCCTTCTTAGCAGCGCTTTTTTTTGCCGGACTATATGTATGGTTTTTGGTCAAACTGGGTCAGCTGGCGAGCACAAAAAGGGAAAAGGACGCCAAACATTTAAAAACATAAAAGACATGCCAGAAATTGCATGCTTCTTTAACCAAGGACTTGACTTGATTTCTTGAGTGCCTCGCCCACGACTCACTCAAGAGCGAGTGACTCGATGAAGTGAGTGGAATGAAATTTCCCCCGAGCCATGGGATTCTCAGCGACTCGATGTAGGTATTACACTCCGCCAGCGAGCAGTCAGTCAACTTATAGCCGCTCCAGCGAACGGACGCACCGAGAATCGAGCTATAGCCATAGTCCACAAAAACCCGAAATCGAACCCATGACTTATATATAGAGCCGTGCGATTTGTTTACGTGTCGTGACGCGAGTGCCAGCAGTTGTGTGCGTGTGCCAGACCCAAACAAACGAAAAGTTGTTGAAATCGAATCAAAGAAATCGCCATGATTAGCACCACGGATTACCCAGCGGTGGAGACCACCACCTCCTCCGAGGAGCTGTACGCGGAGTACATAGCCGCCCCGGCCAGCAGCATGAGTCCGGCTGCGATTGCCGAGCACCTGCAGCAGAATCAGATCACCTTCGAGATACCCAGTGCCCACGATCTGCGGCACATCGATGCCCTCAACTCCTTTAATGCACTGCTCCAGAGGATTGGCAACGCGGCGGTGTCCTACGATCCCGCTCCGCCCAGCGGTTGGTCCCCAGACGGCAGCATCAGCACCGAGCAGCTCTCCAAATCGGTGGTTCTGGACCTCGCCGATCTGAGAGACAGATCCGAGGACTCCGCGGAGTCCTCCTGGTGGAACCAGATCTTCGGGGATGCCGACATGCACGTGATCATCAACTATCTGTGGATCGGAGTGGTCAGCTCCCTGGTGGTCCTCTCCCTCGTCTTCATCCTCTTCAGCTGCTACTTCTACCGGAAGTTCCGCACTTGGAAAAAATGCAGTAAGTTTCAGAAGTATAAGCCATAGTCATTTCCCGCCCCCAAAAATGCCCATACATCTGGCTTTTATGTCCCGACTTTAATCAAAATGTTTCGCCAAAGCCTTATCTCCGGCCATTTATTCAGCTGGCTAAACAATATAAAATGCAGAAACAGGTCCCATCAGTTTGGGAGCTCCATGGAGCTCTACGGCCGCAAAGCCTCATAAATTTTTTGGCGCGCTTCGAAATTGTCAGCCAGCCGTTAGCATCGTTCTGTTGTAATTTTAGATACACAAGTTTATTATGCCACAAAATATATGTGCCGCATATTTATAATATTAAATTGACTCGCCTCTGCCCGAGGCATTGTGCCCCTTTTATGATAGCGATAATGTACGAGCTGGAGAATATGACCGACCTCGTCGACCCCTCGCTCGAGAAGTAAAATTGTGGCCCCGAAATTTGTTGCTCTGCAGGCGAAAGGCGTGAAATTGTGCGTTGATATTTATATATTTTTTGTGGGCCGAGGCGATAAAGAGTAATATAATAAAACAATGATGGACCATACACTCAGCTGGGGGATTTGTAGAATATTTGCTTAGGCATGACATACAAATTCAATAATTTTAGTAGCGCAGATAAGGGTTCTTTAAATATACCAAAGGGATTACTGGTTTCGAATTCTTCTGACATCTCCCACAACTTTAGTAGAACCAAAATCAATCAGGTTGGGCACGACTGCTATCGAAATCCCACTTAAGCCCCTGATTACCGCCACTCAACCCAGTTCGGTGTAAATAGAGCCCATGTAAATATATATCTTATCTGCTCGAAACCTGTTGCACCTCCCAACAGGGCAAAACTGCTCCAAATCCCAAAAATAAATCATATGTTTAGGCACTTTACACATAATTACGGAAGACCACAACAAAGGACCCAACTCATACGAACCGTATAGGACTGAACCGAACCAAACGAAACGGAATTGAACGGAGGGGCAGGCTAAACAACCTACACAACTAACAAGTCTCCGGCTCAAGTGTCAAACTTTTTGCAGACCAATTTAGCCAAATGATTTATTTAGGCCAGGCAGGCGGGCAGCAGCAAGTGAAGGACTGGGCCGAGCAAACTTTAGTCCTGTTCCTGGGAACTCAACTTCTTGGGCCAAAGGGCCGTGGCCTTAAAGCCTGGCCAACTCAACTGTCAAACTGTCAATTTTGTGCTAACGAGCCTTAAAAACTTTGCCCTGCGATTACGACACGCGACCAAGAAGGGTGGATCTGGTTCTGGTTCTGGAGCCCTATCCCATCCCAAAAAAAAACACCGTACCAACTGTGTACGTGAAATATCAATTTGAGCGATATGTGTTGCCTGCTTTCAGGCGTCCAATGCGTCTAATTAGTTTCGTTAGTGTCGTGTTTAGTTTTTTTTGGTTTTTGCCCTGGTCTTACGCTCCCTCCCGTGAGGAACTGGCCTAGATAGATACCAAGTGGTCGCTGGGATAGGGATAGGTTGCCCGGGATACTGGGTTGCCCGGAGTACGTGTGTCATTTATAATTAAGCAACTAGGCCCGAGTTCACTTCGGCTTTTGTGCATTTAATGCCAGCTACGTGGCGTCTCGCAGTGTTTACCTTATAAATGGTTAACGAGGCCCAAACACAAGAGTGTCTGGCCCAGTTGCCAGCCGGGCTTACACCTTATTTATTAAACTGTCACACACAGGCGATGGCAAACTTTCGGTCCTGACTTTGGCTTGTTATCAATTAGTGCAGCGTACGACTGAATTTATTAACAGACCGGCTAGGGATGGAGTTCCTAAATTAAAGCCAAGCAGCAGCAGAAGCCACTGTTTATCATGTTGTATAGGTCCTGCATAATTCAGTTGCGTAAAAATGTAATTAAGCGTAGCATATTTGGCCAAGACCAGAAAAAGTTGCTCTTGGCCAGCAGCCCTTTTAAATTTTTAATGGCCTGCCCTGCGTGTGGTGGGTAAAAACTAGGAGCTGCTCTCTTTTTTGGCTGCGCAACATATTTTAGTTGCTCTTGTTTTTCTGTTCGCTTTGGCAAACTCAAATTGAGTGTTGTAATTAACCAAATTGTTTTGTAGCCGGCCAGCGTTTAGTGGTATGGGAAAGGCATGCATAATATAGCTGGCAAAAGCAAAAGTTTTAATGGCTGAGACTGCAGCTTTTGTGGGGAAAATTGAAGAGCAAAAATCGAATCCCCATTTCAATGGCTGGCTTAATAACACTTGAAAGCAGCTTAAATCCAATGATAATAATTTTTAAATAAAAAACTCTGCCAAAGCCGAATGGAGCCAGAAAAGTTCTGGCGTTTAAAAAATTAACAGACATTTATGGCAACACAAAATAAAACAGCTCAGTGTTTTCCATTTGCCAGTTTTCATTCGAGAGTGCCAGCTTATTGCGATGAATTTAAATTGTTGCATACATTTGGGCGCATCGGCAGCAGAGTTGGGGGGGCAAAAGACAGGCTACAAATGCAAAAAGAGGAAGGCAAAGTGCCAATGCAGCTGAAAACAAAAGGCACCAACGAATGGCGTGCTAATTTTTTTGCCAACCACAGAGAGAGCAAAATTACAGTGCTATTAGTTTTTGGCCATCAAAATAAAAATTGCTATTATAAAGGAAAGAAAAAATATTTAAAATATTTAAGGAATCACATTTGGAATACCCATTTTCCTAAAAGAAACCCTACTTGATAACCCATAATAGCTTAGTTTCTCTGCGTGCAGCAGCCACCTTTCCCCGATTTTCCGACTTTCTTTGCGTCCATCTGCAATGCTTGAAAAGGCTGAAAGGCTGAGGGGCTTCAATTTTCCAGGGGCGGCTGTTTGCTCAACACTTGCATAAAATATGAGGCCTGCAGCCTGTGTATGAGTGGGCCACGCCCCGTGGTCCAACGCCCTGTTTGCCGGCTGTCTATCAAACAGAGAGTAAGGAAAAAAGCGGAAACAAAAGTCGAAAAAAGGAGAAACACAGGGACAGAGTCCTCATGTGGGATGTCCTGGCCGAAAAAAAAGGATATATATATATGTGCTACAGTTATAACAATAAATCAACAACTGCTGGCAGCCACTGTAACTGCTGACTGGTTCTGCTACCGCTGCGTTTTAATATTGTAATGCGCAAATTTTTCAACAGGCTTTGCCCCCCACCGACCACCATTTCCTCCCGTGATGCGCTTTAATTGAAAAAACCATTTTCGGGGCCCAGAGAATTTATGAAAAGTGAGGCCTGAACAATTAAAAAATTGGAGAGTTTTTTCAGCCCAGCCAGCGAAATTAAATCGGGCAAAAAACGGGCAGGGACGATCCCCTATTTATTTATTGAATGCAGTTTAAATTGCATTTAATAACACTGAATACCTGCCTTTTTTCGGCTCGCCATATGCAAAGGGGAAATTCTATTTGAGGTAAATTATTGCTCCATCCATTTTTAATCACGGCTGTAACTCAAAATACGACCAAATTAAATTCTTTGATGGCCGCGGCTTAGAGTGCGTGTGCATGGAAATTGGAATTTTCCAATCTTAATTTAACGCTGCTTAATTTGAAACAAACACACACGCATACATGGACAGCGGCTGCGGCATTATAAAAATTAAATGCTTTCTGCTGCCTACTTTCCGGGGCTGTCGAGCTTTTATTTCATTGCAGTTGGCAGGCGGCGAGAGTGTGTGTGTGACCGAGAGAGAGAGAGAGAGAGGGAGAGAGCGTATTTTATTTCATTCCATATTGCCACGCGCACACTTCCGGTGTATTATTGCCTAGTTGTTGTTGTTTGGCTGGCCGTCAGTCTGCTGTGAAGGAACTTCGCCTGTCCTGCCATCCTCGCCGGCATTTCCGGTCAGCACAAAACTTTCCGTTTCCCCTTGTCCACCCGCTTTTTGCGAATTTTTTTTGCTTTTTCCTTTTTTGCCTCTGCATTCGGAAAAGTTCAAGCGTTTGCGCCTTTACGCTAAATTGAATTTAATGCCACGGGCCCGTCCTTCTACAAATGTCCTTTGACATGGACAAACAAAGTAATGACAGAGTCAAAACTTTGATGCCTGATTGGGAGCACCCACTCCAATTTTGCTGCACAGAGAGAAATGAATGGGAAATAAATCCATAAAAAAAGTATAAGAATTTATGAGGACCACTGCTTCTGCATTTTAATATATCATAAAACCCTGTTTCGTATTTTTTTAATTTCTTGTATTTTCAAGAAGTATCTTTTGCTTTTATCAAGGTTCTTTATCTAGCTTTTTCCCCCAATTTTCTCCCTGTGCCCCTAAACAATAGAAACTTTCTGCTGACAAACTCAACTAACAAACTCCGTTCTCTGTTTATTGCAGATAAGGACATACGTGCCCAGATCCATGCGGCCAGCGACTCGTACTCCTCGCACCTGGTGGGCTGCGACGCCAGCCGCCTGCTGTTGCACCAGCAGATGCAGGGGCACAATCCGCATCCACACCATCGGGGCAACGAGGCGGGATTCTACCAAATCGAATCGCCACCCTGCTACACAATCGCCACCGGTTTGCCCAGCTACGATGAGGCACTGCATCATCAGCCCCGGCACTTCGCCTACGGCATGAAGTTCGTCTATCCCTCGCTGGCGGCCGTGCATCATCATCACCATTGCGTTTCCAATTGGGAGAAGGACGAGCTGAATAAGCTGCAAAAGTGCAAGCTGTCAGCGGCAGTGGAGGAGGATAAAGTGGAGGCCTCCCCCTCGGAGTCCTGCAACTTGGCCGCAGCCACGCCTGCCATTTGCATTAACATGCCAAATGGGAGGCAGCAGGATGTGGAGGAGGAGGAGGAGCAGGAGGAGGTGGTCTCCGCAGTGGCAGTGGCAGTGGCACAAAGTTTACAGCCGGCGGCGGCTGCCGACGATGATTGCGCCTCATTGGTCGTTGTTGTTGCCGCGTGATTGCCCAGTCAGGGTTCAGGGGTCAGGGGTTAAGGTGGGGCCGGGGGTGAAGGGTCAGGGCCGGGAGTAGCAGCCCAATTGCTTAGTCACTTGTAAATAGTTGCATCGTCTGCTAATGTTGTTTGCCCCCCTGTAATAACATATATCTCCGAATGTGTCCCCCCTGCTCACTCTTTAAGCAAATTTAGTTTCGTTTTTAGTTATCTGTTATATTATTGTATTACGCAAGACTGAGTATTATTTATTGTACCATGTATAAAACCGAATTGTCTATCGATTAAGCCTTAATATCTAAGTGAGAGTGAAACGAAAAATATAAAACTCGAATGAACACACACATTGCAAACTAAATTGAAATTTTGCTTTTCATTTTCTTATCAGTTTTTCAGTTCCAAAAGCCAAAAACTAAAGTTCCTCGATTTTCAGTCCCATTGTTGACCTTGCTGGCATTGCACGAATACGTTTCCCAATCCCTCAGATACTCGTACTTTGGCCAGAGCAAATATCAGAAGCCATTTGGGGTTTCGGATTTGGTTTTGTTTTGAAATTATGTACGTGACTTGGATGCGCCTGGTCGAGATTAGGTCAGCAGAAATGCATTGCAGCCGGAGAATCCCCCAGGAACGTGCGGTGCTGAAAGCATTTTTCAACGTCCTTTTTAAGTGTTACTCAAGGATTTGGCCAAGTAAAGGATTAACTCTAAAGAGTTTGAGGAGGGCATTAAGCTGATTACACAAAAATCCATGATAAAATCATCATCATGTTCGGATACTTAAATGCCATTTGATCTCCAAAAGCGATTGATTAGTTCTATAAGGTGTTTAATTATTGTCCATGGTCTTTCTTGAACACTTTAAAAATTTTAAATTGTAAGCATTCACATTCATTATTTAATTTCCCTTTTAAAGATTCCGCTTCCATTTCCAACACTCAAAATCCCCCTTAGCGAAGACATCATTGATCAATAACTAACAAACACAGACAGTTTCTTAATGTTGCAGTTACTAAGATTACATAGAAACATTAACTAGAGTTAAAACTAAAGCTAAAGCTCACAAGAAACCAAAAAAAATATTGTCTACTATGGGAAGGAAAAAAGGAGGAAATTAAATATGCAAAAATATATATGAAAAGATATTATCAACCGAAAAAAAACAGACTTTAAATTTTGCTTGCCAGTCTGGGATTTCAGCTCCTCAGGCGATGAACTTATTTGGGAGCACACTCAACCTAACAGCCAACAAGGCAGCACTAAAAACACGAGTTAAAGTTTCGTGCGAGCATAAATAATTTCATGTCAAATCTGACACTTTTGCTGAAGCTTCTGCGTCTTTAATGCCGCAATTTGTATTCAAATGTACGATTTGTTGATGAGTCCGAGTCCACGCTGGAGAGGATGTGGACGGGGATGGAGGCACTGGCATGGCACATCAAACATTCCATAACGCAGCGGAGAAGTGAGCGAGGAGCTGCAAACACCAAACAGGGCCATAAATTATATTATCGTGCATCGTGTATCTGGTTCAGGTCGCAGTCATGAGTGACTGTGCCTCAAAACTGGGCAAAAGCGGGGGATTCCGAATGCGAATGGGAATGGGAATGCCAACGGGATGGGGTTCGGGCGGGGATTGGGGAGTGGGGATTGGGGTCTGGGGACTGGGGACTGAGGACTGGCACTGACATCAACACCAGCAGCTACGGCACATCCACAGAACTTGTGGCTCTGGCTCTCTGTTGTCGTGGTCGTGCTTTGCGTTCTTGCCATGATGTGCCGAAATGCACAAAAAACCCAGTCCAAGACAAAAAGAATAAAGCTCAGGTAAGAAATACCGAATACAATATGCCCTATTAAAAGAACAATAGTAAGTGAATATTTTACAGTACTGACAGCTAAAAATAAATAAATACATGAAAGAAATGTAGATTGAATGCATATTAACCAAATATAGTTTAGTCTATAAATAATGTATTTAAAACGGTATATTTTTGATGCTTCTAAGTTCTAAGAATAAGGTAAAGTCTACTCAAATTGAAGCTCATTATAAAAATAAGAGACTTTAAAAATAACTTGATAAAAAGCGATAACCCTATCAAAACTCAAACAATTTATAGACTGCTAATATAAAGCTACATAACTTTAAATGTAAAATAAAGAAATAAAGCTCATTAAATATTCCTGGAGAAGAACCAAAAACCTTATAGAACTGGCTGTACCCTGCATGACCAAACGATTCCCAAAAGTTGACCTGACCCCAGCAGGGTTAGAGAGCATATAGGAGCTCCATCAGACAAAGGTAGGCGGAGTGCCTGCCCAACAGATAAGCGATATGCGGTCGGCATTCATACATGCGAGTAAATGTGTTGTGTGCGATGAGTTACTACTGTACGGTGGGAGTATCTGAGTTTCTGGTACGGTACGTTTTTATGGTGACTGCACGTGTTTTGGCCGTAATTTGTTAAACGGTTTTTCTGATTTTTTCCTTCGGCAGAGTTCATTGAACAGGTTGTTTTGGCTTGACTTTTCGGTCGACACTTGTTTGCCCCATTTTGTGGGCGGACCATAAATCTCGGAGACATTAATTTGTTTGTCACCTGTCGCACATGCGGTTGAATAAGATGTGTTGCCCTCCTAAATGAGTGCAATTAAATGCCTAATGACCCTGATGACAATCGGCAAATCGGATTAAATTTATAGGGGAAAATAATTCATATATTGTCTACTGCTTTAAAAGCTTGCTCGCACTGCTATTCATTACAAATTTCTCGTAGTCTGGAAGGTTTATTGGATAAGGCTGTTTTGTAATTATTGGTTCTACCCAACGATCCTGATTTGTTTGATACGGAACCTGCTTCCTTGATAATTTTATTATTTCATCTTTGCTCAGTTCTTCCCAAGGAGGTGCGTTTTCTGAATTAAAATATGGCCTTCTTGATGAAAATCCTTGTCCCTTCATTTCTTCGCCTTGAAAGTTAAAATTGTCATCCTTAAATACACTTTCTGTAAACTCATTTAGTGGAGAGTCTAGATTGAATACTATTGCAGGACGAGTAAAAATTTTGAGATTTTCTCGTTCTTGAATATTGCTTAGAGGATCATTACTCAGTAAATAAGGGTTCTCATCACCTGACAGATATTCATGTTTCCCGATTGGTGGTGCCTTGGGAACTATATATATGTTTGGAGAGCCCTTAGACTGATAAACTTCCTTTGTAGTATCCATTGAAGGAATATCATTTGGTTGGTAGTCTGCCAAGGGAAAGTCGAAAGTTGGATTACCGTGGCCAGCTGCCGATTTTCCCTCAGCATCACCGTCCTTTATCCTTGGTTCAACATCATCTTTAAGTGTTGGATGTTGCTTTTCAGAAGACTCTCCAGGGCTATATATTGAACTGTCGTCAAAGCGAGCATCAAAGGCCACATCCTCATCAGCTTCCTCCGTCCTCGGTCCAATATCCTCATTGGGTGGTAAATGTTCTCTACCTTCTGACTCTCCAGGGCGATGTCTTGAATTTTCGTCAAAGGGATCATCAAATGGTACATCTCTATCTGCACCTTGTGTAATATATTCAGGGTCCCACTCATCATGTTTACGATCCACGTGATCGTTTGGTTCTGGACCTATAGTTCGGGACCTTCCTCTGGTCCGAAATCCGATTTTTGGTCTTTGGTTGTAAAATGACCAGTCTATAGCAAAATCTCTATTACCAGGCCTTCGTCTATCGAAAGGGTATCTTTCAGTGGGGCTTCTATATGGTGGCGGACCGTATGACAAAGTGGGTTCAGGATCCGTCCAGGATGGTTCAGTTGTAGAATCTATATAAAATCAAATATATGCTTATCAAGAGTTGTACTATATGAACTAATTAATATTTGTCACCATATTGCGTATGCGGATGCCTATTATATAGGCCGTCGAAATAATAAGGAGTATGGTTATACTTATTCGGGGTGGATGTTACTATCCAGGAATCAGGCGTAATTAGTCTGTAAAAGACCTGCCAGTAGAATGTCAGCCAGAAAATGATGAGAAAGTCGTGGAACAATATCAGAGATCCCAGGTAAAAGTCATTCAGACGCATTTCCGCAAATCGGTTTCCATTGATTGTTTGGGCATGGTACATTATGAACTGGGGCATACATTTTAAATCAATTCTTACAAAATTAAGATAATACTTACCACAAGAATCGTTAGGGTTACAGATAGTTCTACCACTAAATAGGCGTACGGAGCTGCTCTCCAGACAAGCAGTTCGAATAGTAGCACAAAGCTGGCGACAATCAGAAAAATGAATGCGATTATAAATAGAACCGCAATATCTAGGGTGAGATCCATCTAAAATATTTATATTATAGTTAATGAAAATACTATTAGAGCATTAATAATTATACCCGTTACTCGAAAAGTAAAAGGGTATACTAGATTCCGAATCGGAACCCTATAAAGTGTGTATATTTTTGATCAGGATCACTAGCCAAGTCGTCCGTATGAACGCTGGGATCTCGGAAACTATAAAAGCTAGCAATTTGGGATTTGGCATGTAGATTCTTGAGCTTTTTGCGCAGCGCAAACGCCCATAGTGCTAAAAAAACCCCCGTCTAGGACTAACATTTTAACATTAAACATATTTTTGACAAATTTGTATGGTCCATCTTTGCTAATTATAAAGCTCTATCACCCTCGCACTTAGCTGAGTAACGGGTATCTGATAGTCGATGGCATAGACTATAGCGTTCTCTCTTGTTTTTACTTTTGCTGGTAGAAATATTCCTATTATGAGGAATATTGCTACTAATATTACGGCCACTGCAAAAAAGGTAAGAACATCTGCCCACCAACTAATGGCGACTAGAGCAAATGTGGATATGATCTGAAGTTCCACCTGAAATGAGGTTGACAACAAAAATGGAATGTACTACAAATTTCATTTTTTGATACTTACGATAACCAAAGCCATGACAAAGTTCAGACCTTTCATAAAACGCACCTTCTCCACAAATATGAAGATGGCGAATATAACTACGGCCAGCGTAAAGGTCACAAAACAGATGTAGTACAAGCTCCGGAAAGTTGTCCTTGCATCTTCTCTGATATAATTTGTATTCAATTTAAAATGTAAGAGTTTTAAATATTTATACTTACATTAGAGCGATTACCATCCACTGGATCAGGGCCAAAATGAGCCACAGAAACAACAGGCCATAGGTTTTAAATGAAAACTTTCTTCGCGCCCTTCGATAAAAACGATGCTCATCCGATACATACATCGTAACTCATGGGTTAAAGTGTCTCGAGTTGGTAACTAAGACTGCAAATTTGTCCAGGACCACCAATGGCTATAAAGAAATTGTGGAGTTTGTGTATAATATGGACATCAATTTTAAAAGGAGCCGCAAAACTAATGTGATTGTAAACATTTTTAAAAAATTATTTTCTATAACTGAAATAGGGATGATTTTTTTTACTTTATTATTTTATTGTTTTATTATTTTTAATGTAATCACTTGACTTAACACTTACGTGAGATAATAGTGATCTCCTGATTAGTTGCAAATTTTGGTAGTCTTAAGTTTTTTGATTAGAGAATGTTTTGCAAATTGTGATTGAAATCACTTTCTGCTGATTTCCCAATCGTCTGCAGCCCAATCATAGCTTGTCATATTGGTAATTTTCCATTCCTCTTCATTTGGCTTATCATCTGTAATTTAGCCTTTGAAAAAAGTTGTCTAAATTAAATTCAACAATTCCCTTTACCATAGTCTTCATAATCTCGATTCATGGCGGTTGTTCCATGCGTATCTTTTGTACTTGTCGACATCCAGAAGAAGTCAGAGGATGTGAAGTAGTTATAGTTGATTTGCCAGTAGAAAGTCAGGGCGTATATTACTAGAAATTCATGAAACAGCAGCAAAGCGGCCAAGATGAAGTCATCCATGCTCATCTGGACATGCCGATCTCCACTAATGGTTTGAGCGTGCAGCATGGTCAGCTTAAAACTCTTTAATAAATATTACAAAAGTTACGATGATTATTTAAGCTCACCGATAACATTACAAGGGTTAGTAAAATCTCGAAGAACATATAGGCATAGTCCTTAATGTCTGGCAAAAAGATATGTGTCATCAGGAAATACGCGGAGAATATGACCAACATAAAGCTCATTATAAAAATAGGAGCTATGAACTGGGTCAAATCCATCTGGTAATAGTTCAGGGGATTACTTATAAATCTTATTTTTGAATACAATTTAATAGTAATATTAATGTAATTTTAATACCGTGAACGATAGATGACAGCCAATGACCAGGACTACGACTATTCCAAGTACGCAGATGAAGTAGAAGGCTAACATGTCTGGAATCCAAGTTCGAGCTACAAGCACGAACATCGAAAGTGTTTCCAGTTCCACCTCAAGGATACATTTTTGATAGAAACCTTAAATATATCTTCATAAAAGCCAATTAACTCACTGTCAGACAAGCCACAATCCATTTGTAAATCCTGTGGCTGCGAACATTTTGGTTGAAGGCAAACATGGTGAAAAGTATGCCAGCTAGAGCAAAGGTGGCCGAGCAAACTATCTCTAAATCACGGAATATCTTACGACCGCTTTCCCTGCGGGAAAATATTAGGAGACTTACAAATTCGTTTGCTTATAAAGTACCCACACCAAGCAGACAATAATCCATTGACCTAAAGCTATTGCCAAAAAGATCGCAAAGGTTGCGTAAGTTCGGCGACCAAACCTTTTCCATCTGCGTCGAGTGTCCATTTCTTAAAGTCCCAAAATACCACCTTTAACTGGGGATTTATCGATTAAAGTTGTCTCAAAAGTAATGTGAATATTATAGGAAATTTAGTAATATTTTCTTGATGGATCTTTGAGAGGTTACTTTTATCATTTAGATACAAATTTTAAATAATTCAATGCTAAAATTGCCTTGAAATAGTTTAAAATGCATATCTTAATGCTGGAAAATCCAACTATTATTGTAGGCAGAGCTGTCCATTTCTGGGATTGTGTTTGTTCTGTTATTCTGTCAATTATAACATAGTATTCCCAAATATGCAGCAATTTCTGTCGACCTCGGGCAGTTCAATTTGCTCAGATGTAAGGGAGCAGCCTCTGAGTGTCTCAGAGATACAGTTTGCCCTATCATTGTGTCAACTAACTTGCTCCGTTCACACACAGCTGCGACCTGGCCCCGATACAAATGCTGTAGCTACAGTAAACACACGGTGGGGCGGCCAAGCGGCTAACGCGTAAAATCAACAAAAATTAACGGGGGGCAAACAAGGCGAGCACGGAGAGCCAAGGTTGAGAAATTTGTGCTCAGCTCGATGCAGCAAACAAATTTGCACTTGTTAGCCTGACTTTAGGTTTTATTTTTTTTTTGGTGCTGCCAGCGGAGAAAATAGCGCAGAATATGCCAAAGCGACTGTCAACGGCAAGTGTTAAAAATGCCAGATAAATAATGCTAGAGCAGCCAGACAAGAGCCACAATGGCAAACAGACTCACTAATGAGCTGACTGCACTGCAAACTCAACTTTGCTGCCTGGCTGACTGACTGACATTCTGACAGATTCGGCTGAGACTGAGGCGTGTGCGTCACTGGCCAAACACACAAAAAGATACAATTTGCATACTAAGCCCTGCCGCGTCACACGGTGCGTATGAGCAATGGGGAATAAAAATCATTAAGCGACACATTTGGCATATCAAAACGGCCTTAATGGCGTGTGGCATTCCCAATCAGCAGCCATGTGCGTTTCGTGAGCTCAACTCGCCGAAAAAGTGACTTGAGAAGCAGCTAACTGTCGCCGGGAAGCTCGACTAGCTGACTGGCATGCAAAATTAATTACGGCCAGAAATTTATTTACGACGACGAGGAAGGCGCTGCGGCAGCCATAAAAGTTTTACGCTCTAGCCGAATTTAGGAGCCAGAAAACAGGGACAGCGCCAGGAAATCCAGGACCAGAAACAAGACTGCAGCTTAGATACATTCTCCTTTGCCGTCGCCATAAAATCCAGGCGCTGATGACATTTCGCCAACTGCATTGCAGTGGATGTGGATGCGGACGCGGATGTGGATGTGGACGAGGATGTGGATGTGGATGTGTCACCGCTGCGGCGGTTTCGCCATCTACTGCAGCTAGTGGGGATTTTACGAGCTTTGCAACACTGGTTGTCGGGGGTTTTTGGAGGATAAGGGGTTCCCTGAAAAGGGTGTGCCGAAAATCACACCACTTAAGTGCGCGTAATGAAATTTTAAGTAGCATTCGGTTCTGTTTATGATTTTGGCTGTAAAATGCATGAATTCGCCGGTGCCTCTAATTCAATTTGGTTTGGCAAGTGCATGGCTAAAATTATTGCCAACGGTTTGAACCATTTCTGTGACATTTTTCCACCAAGCTTACAATGTAACCATAAAGGTTTTTTTTACAGAAACAAATAATTCCTAAATATATTAAAGAGTCATCTTAGCACTGACAAAATAAATATAAATTTGAAATAAATTTTGTTTCTATTAAAAACACTTAATTTTATTTATTTCTTCAGGCTTATAAGTAATAAAATTATTTTCAATTAAAAACAAGATTAAGATTTGAGTTCAGCTTCACTACAATAAATTGTAAGTATCAACATTTGTTGTTTTAAAGAAGGAAACTACTCATTCCATAAATTTCTATAAGTTCTACCACAGTTTATAGTGTTGTAAAAAACTTAAGTATCATAACTTTCAGCCCACTATAAAACTCTCTAGGGAAAAGCTATAATTGAAGTACTAGCTTACCGAAATATATGACCAAAACAGTATACTTTTTTCCTGCATTCCGGCTATCGTACTGCGGATTAGTTACACCTAAAAAAACAAATAGTCAGGGCAATCGGAACCCTTTCGATTCTGTAGATTAGCCGCATGTTAGTTCCTATCAAACTGGGTCGCTGTCAGATTATTCCACTCATAAAGCCCACTACAACATATGTGTATGTATGAGGAAATACCGCTGACTTAGGTCAGGGATAGGTTTATATAGCGATAAGCAAGAGGCCTTATCCCCACTAGTATAAAACAAAGAACAGTGCGGCTAACTTGCTGTTGATTTAAGCCAAAAGCAAACACTAGCAGACGCTCATTAGCAGCAGCACACGCCGGAGATAAGGACCACACCGGGTCCGGAGATAACTTCTCAGGGAACCGAGAACACAGCATCCAGAATACCAGATAAAAGGCCGCAGGCCAAGTTCAAAGAGGCGGCGAATCATGTGTCGTCACATCATCAAACAAAATGAGGAGCAAATTAGAGGGATCGACTACGGACTACCGCCCGGAAAATCACCCAGGGAAGGGGTACCCCTACTTTCCTTTCCATTTCCATTTTCCACTTGCGTCATCGAAATTTGTAGCAGCTTATCGCGCTGGCTGGCTGATAAAAAGATGAGCTCCGGAAAATTCTCGGGACTCCATCCAAAGTCCGGAGTCGGTGTTTCTGTTTGTGACTCACTTTTGCCGCAGACTCGAACGTGACCTGGCACTTTAGTGACACTCGCATAATCGGAGTGGAGTGTTTTTCCTTGGTCCAGCGCCTTTATCAATTTTACGACTTCCTTTCCAGTCAAAGTCTGGCCAGATAGATAGTCTTCTTCGGACCACCGGCTAGCTGCAATTAGTTTTTTTTTCCCGATTCGTGGACTTGTGGCTCGCTTTAGTATCTTTATCTTAGCTAATTGATATTTATTGCCCGAACACGTTCTTCCACTTCGCCTCATTCTTTCGTTTGCTCAGGTGAAAATGTGAAAATACTCGTACTGTGCGTTTTCGATTTTCCATTCCCAACGTATTGGCAACGGGAAATAATGGGCGGTAGGTTGGGATGGTTATACTTTATTGGGGCATGCGGGAACGATTCTTGGTAAGCGGTGACTCAGACATTAACTTAAGATCCGTGGGGTCAACGGTGGAGTCACGTTTTGGTTTTACACAGAAACAAGATTAGAGTCGTAAACAGTCGAGGACTATATGGAATGGCTGGGAAACGGCTGTGGAAAGGTGAGTGCTCCGGCTTGGGTCATCAATCACACTGCTCCAAATACTCTACAAAAAATGCACTTTCTGGAAGCCCAAAGGATACTCCATTCGCCCAGCTGTCCCGCCAACGAAGTTATAGGCTATCATATTTCCTCCTGGCATATTTATCCTAAAAACAACCGTGAGGAAGCACATTTTTTCCAATAAACACTTCACAGGCTTCCCCAACCAAAAAAAAAAATGTATCGAAAATTAACAATACTTGTAGCCCTTGATTTATGAATGAGTTCCTCTAGTTGTTTGTCTTTTTATAGCAGGATATTCTTTTTAGAGCATGATGTTTGAGTTTTTTTTCGGGGTAGGCAGGATATTATGAATGCATTTAGAGTGACTACTTAAAAGTAAATAAATAATATGGGAAATTGCTCCTGTGTTTGCTTAGGAAACGGTGTTGAATAGGGAATGAGTTGTTGAATTAGATAGAAGTGCGGATTAAAAGGTTCACCCAGATAAAGCATAACAATATCAGCTCCTTATAGCAATTTATAATTGTAAAAAAATTCTCCTGATGACTAGGCTTTCTTAGAAATAGTATTATTTCTCATAGTTTGGACATATTTTTTAGAGATCACATAGTTTTTCAAAAGAATATTTATTGTATTGTGATCAGTAATTACCTATAGTAAAAATATTTTATTAAATAAAATTGTATTCAAATATTTAAGATTAAGGACATGTTAAATATTGACTGGTTTGCATACCCTAGTTTAATTAACCAAAGTTAAATATGAAAGGTACATTTTGGAGTGCTCCAGAGGCCTTCAGAGTATCCATACATTTTCCAAGAGTAGGACAAACAGCAGCCAACTCAGCTCATTCTTAATTTATGACACTTTCAATTAGGAACTCCTCCTAAAAGGCTAACAGCAGGTCGGATTCCAGGGAAACCTCTGCGCCTGGCAGAGCAGTGTGTGCGATGGGATTCCTGGAATAAATTGAAAACCATAATTATGCTCACGCTTACGGCCTTCGCCTTCGAGCGACTGTCAATTGCAAAAACAAACAGGAGATGGCAAAAAGAGCAGGCGGCTAACAAAGGCCAAGGCTGTGGACTCGGACTCAGATTCAGATTTCGAGTCAGGGAAGGAGTAGTGGGTGATACTGGAGATACTGGAAGATGGATTGACAATAACGAGGCATAGGCCTACCTGCAGCGCCTCGCAAGTGCTTTGTCCTTGGCCCAGGCAAAAGATAGAGATACCGAACAGACATTGTCAATGTCGCATGTCTGGTGCTGACAAATCGCCAGGAAAAGGGGATTTATGAATAGGCCGAGTGCCAAAGAAGCAGGATGAGGTTTTGGCCCCTGATCGCTTCATTATTGGGCAGAACATGTCAATTTGGCCCAAACTTCCTTCTACGGAATTGTATAAAAACTGCTCACTCTCAGTCCCAGTTCCAGCTGCGACTTTGTCTCATTCATAAATTGCCGCACAAATCTATCAAAATCCCCCAAAGTTGATTAGGCTGTCAGATAAATCAATTTGTCGCCGAGCATAAAATATTTTTATTATTTCACAAAAGTCCGGCTTAGGCTGAAAATTTTATGCCGTAATTTAGATTGATGGCCTCGAGATACGGGACAAAACGGAAAGTGTCTTCGGTGTAATTGCGAAAGCAAAAGTAAATTGCCATTCGCAGTCCTTCGAGATGCCAGGAGGTGGCTCGAAGGCCTCTGCGCTAATTTTATGACTAGTTCGTGACTGCAAACTATGGGGAGTGCGCAAAAGGAAGGCCAGGACTCACCTGTTACCTGCATCTCGAGTTCTGAGTTCCGAATTCTGAATTCACAACTCGCGACCGCCACGCGTTCCACTTCAAAATGTGCTCGCAGCGATGGCAAATAAAATAAAATTTTTACGTGCCCACGCGTCCTCAGTCAACAGTTTTCCCCGACAGCGGCAGCGACGGCAAAAAGAAAATCCGTTTTCACGTTGTTTTTCCAGAAAATTAGTTTAAAAGCATCATAAAATAATTTTCGTGCTGCGCTGGGAAATTTCGCGTTTCTCGTTTTATTGTTGCCATTGACTCCCTTTCAACTTTGGCCATTTCGGGTTCGTTTTTCGGCCATTCTCACACCCATTTGGTGCCCAGGTGGGTAAATGGATTTGGAGCGCTTAGATAGCCCATCATCATCATCATCATCAGCATCGCCATTCGCTGCCCGAGTTTCAAATGGTCCGGCGCCATAAAAGAAGCAAATGCACAGGGCCAAATTAGATTTATGTCTTTTTTTGAGATTTTTTGTGGGGCAGTTAAATTGAAAATGGTTTTTGCCCTCTGCACTTAGGTCATCGTAGGGCGATTCGTAATTAGAGATACAATTTATGTCGAAATCCAAGGGTCAAATTGAAAACAAATTGTGGCAGGTGATAGACAGATGAGGGTTTGTTATTATAAATATTTTAAATCTACAAATTACAAACTATAAAATAAAAAAACACGATTAAAAATGGTTTATAGTATTGGTATATTAGTATTTAGTTTTTGATTATTTTGATGTGTGTATCCTTAGGTCAAATTTCAAACAAAATGAGGCAGGTGGAAGGCAAAGGATAATTACAAATATTTTAACATTTAATCAAATAATTAGTTTATTGAAAATCATAAAGGGTTAGGGAATATTTTAATTTTGCATTATATTAGGTTTCATTTAATGGGCAGCATTCTTAAACCATAAAGCAGTCTGACATAACAATGATTTCATCACACCTAAGAAAAAATACTATTCATCACAGTATCTTATGTATTTAGATGAAATTAGCCTTTTTCAGGTATTTATCATCCTGTGAATCACAAACCTTAAATTATAACAGAAAATCATATCTAAGATAACCGAATTTCGTCATTCATGATAAGGCACAGTTTACAGAATCTTCTTCGACACTCAGTCTGAATCATTGCCGAGATAATAATATTATCTAGTTAGTTAAAGTGTCGGTTGCCATGGGGAATTCCCAGGGGCTGCATATCCCAAAAAACAGTTGAGCACAACAACTTCCTTATTAGTCCGACAAATTTGTATCTTGTCCCACATAGAGCGCAATATCCTTCTGGCTCACGTGTAATCCATACCGAAATGCACTTAAGTCCACACTCCCACATGTATCCTTAAGACCCAATGCGAGTGCCCTGAAATTCGAGCAATTTGTTTTCATAAAGGATCCCCGGCAACCTTCTCCCACTTCCTTCTTATACAATATGATGCCAATGGCCACTAAATAGTATCTGGTATCTCAAAAAAACGAGTGTATCTTTTTTGTTGTTGCTTGCTTTCGTAGGAATTATGCCAGGAAATTTGTTGAAAACCTCTCGA